CCTGAGCATTGGACACTAAACTCTAAACCCTAAAATGGTCAAACCTAAACCCTAAACTCTAAACCCTAAAGCCTAAACACCGAACATTGGACACTCAACCCTAAACCCTAAACACTAAACCACGAGTCTGAAACCCCAATCCTAAACACTAGACTCCAAAGCATAAGCCCTAAGCCCTAAACCCTAAAAGGTCTATACCTGAAACCTTAGGCCCTAAACCCTAAAAGGTCTATACCTGAAACCTTGAGCCCTAAACTCTAAACCCTCAAGCCTAAACACCAAACATTGGACACTCAACCCTAAACCCTAAACACTAAACACTAAACACTAAACCACAAGCCTTAAACCCTAATCATAAACACTAGACTCTGAACCATACGCCCTAAGCCCTAAACCCTAAAAGGTCTATACCTGAAACCTTAAGCCCTCAACTCTAAACCCTAAAGCCCAAACACTGAACATTGGACACCCAACCCTCAACCCTAAGCCCTAAACACTAAACCACTAGCCCTAAACCCTAATCCTAAACACTACACTCTGCACCATAAGCCCTAAGCCCTAAACCCCGAAAGGCCTAAACCTGAAACCTTAAGCCCTAAACTCTAAACCCTAAACCGTAAACCATCGTTTGCTCACGGTGGATTACCCACGTGTGTGGGAGTTAAAATTTTGAAAAATTGAACAAAGTTATGTGAGACAAGGACGTCACACAAGCTATTGTGTGAAAGACCCCATTGATAAAGTCATTACTTGTCACTGGTAGTGAGTTTTTAAAGAACTGACACCAAACTGACGTAACGTGCAATTAAAAAAAAAAAAGATGTAACGTCCAGTGTATGATATAGAGTACAGGAACTTGTCTCTGTAGACAAAGATGGACTGTACAGCATGACCACACACGCAGTACCATATACACGTTCCTTCAGGACGTCTCTTAGAAATTTCAACAATACAGAGAAGATGAGCATAGCAGTGACCCTCGGCGTAACACACACTATATCGATAAATGGTCCTACTTTCCAATTAACTAAGTATTATTAAGTAAATAATTGGCGACTCATGATAGTGCGAGGTATGTAGGTAGCTAGTGTGAGGTGCAAAAATACGGAGAGAAGAAAGTAGCATAATTACTAATTACTAATTATCATGAAGAAAAAAGCGATAATTGAGCTGTACACACGCTACTTGGCACAGTAACTGGACGCAGTAATGCCAGACAGTAAATTGGCGGAATAATTTTCCGCCACAGTAACTTGGTACGGTTACTACTATTATTTAACACAGTTACTTAGCACGGTAACTCAGCACAGTAACTCTGCACAGTTACTCGGCACAGTAACGCAGCACTGTAACTGTGCGCAGTAATTTCGCACTGTCGATTGCCACAGTAACTTGGTATGGTGACTACTGTCATTTGGCACAGTTACTTGGCATCGTAACTTGGCTCGGTAACTTGGCACAGTAACTCTGCACAGTAACTTGGCAAAAGTGAACTCGGTTTGGCTAAACTGAGTTTGGATGAAATTATCAGACTGAGTGATAACGTCCACTTGATATCCGTCACGCCGATGCCATTTCTTCCTATCTATATGCGGCATGTATTTGTGTCGCGGAAAATTATTGCGCCAATTTACTGTCTGGAATTACTGTGTCCAGTTACTGTGTCCAGTTACTGTGTCCAGTTACTGTGTCCAGTTACTGTGTCCAGTTACTGTGTCCAGTTACTGTGCCGAGTTACTGTGCGAAGTTGCTGTGCAGAGTTACTGTGCCAAGTAACTGTGACAAATGACAGTAGTCACCACATCAAGTTCCTGTGCCGAAAAATTACTGCGCCAATTTACTGTGCGAAATTACTGCGCCCAGTTACTGTGCAGAGTTACTGTGCTGAGTTACCATTCCAAGTAACTATGCCAAATGACAGTAGTCACAGTACCAAGTTACTGTGCCAAAAAATTACTGCGCCAATCAACTGTGCGGAATTACTGCGCCCAGTTGGGGTGGGGCAGCGGGGGGACGGTTTTGTATGGCGCGGGGTGCATTTCTTGGTTCTGCAGGCCAGCAAGCAGCAGCATACATACCTGATGGAAGACGAGGCAGATGACAGTGCAACGTGGAAAATGCAAACAAGAAAAGGGTAAAAAAGAAGAAGAAGAAGAAGAAGGAGAAGGAGAAGAACGAGAAGAAGAAGAAGAAGGAGAAAGATAAAACAGATAAAGGGTAGATGCACTGAGAGCAGCGGCTCAGCAGCCGATTCTAATGTTCTTCAAGTCAAACG